TTAAAGATGTTGAGCAAAATAATAGAATTGTTGAGTTTTTGAAAATGGATGAGATTTGTCCTTGGAGGAAAAAATCGCCTACATTAAAATTGATTCTAATAATATAAGATTAGAATAGAAAATAAGATGAGAAGATGAGTGAAGCGAAGATAAGATAGGATAAATCACAGAATGATTCTTTTATTTGGGTTTGGTCATATTCTGAGATTGTTATGTTAAGTTCTATGCTGAAAATGAATTGGCGTACAATGATTCCACAAGACATTTCAGTTGATTTCAATCGATAATTAAATCATAACTTTACATTTACTGTGCAGTGCAGGTGTTCAGCTTCTCCTCCAAATGAACATGTTCAGCTTCTCCTCCTTATGAACATGTTCAGCTTCTCCTCCAAATGAACATGTTCAGCTTCTCCTCCTTATGAAAATGTTAAGCTTCTCCTCCAAATGAACATGTTCAGCTTCTCCTCCTTATGAACATGTTCAGCTTCTCCTCCAAATGAACATGTTCAGCTTCTCCTCCAAATGAACATGTTCAGCTTCTCCTCCTTATGAACATGTTCAGCTCCACCTCCCTATGCACATGTTGTGCTTCTCCTCCCTATGAAAATGCTCAGCTCCTCCTCCCTGTGAACATGTTCAGCTTCTCCTCAAAATGAACATGTTCAGCTCATTCTCCCGATGAACATGTTCAGCTCCTCTTCCCTATGAACATGTTAAGCTCGTCCTCCCTATGAACATGTTCAGCTCCTCATACCTATGAACATGTTCAGCTCCTCCTCCCTATGAACATGTTCAGCTCGTCCTCCCTATGAACATGTTCAGCTCCTCCTCCCTATGAACAAGTTCAGCTCATCCTCCCTATGAACATGTTCAGCTTTTCGTCCCTATTAACATGGTCAGCTCCTCCTCCCTTTGAACATGTTCAGCTCCTCCCTATGAACATGTTCCATTCCTCCTACCTATAAACATGTTCAGCTCCTCTTCCCTATGAACATGTTCAACCTCTCCTTCCTATGAAGATGTTCAGCTCATCCTCCCTATGAATATGTTCAGCTCCTCCTCCCTATGAACATGTTCAGCTTCTCGTCCCTATGAACATGTTCAGCTCCTCCTCCCTTTGAACATATTCAGCTCTTCTTCCCTATAAACATGTTCAGCTCGTCCTCCCTATGAACATATTCAGCTCCTCCTCCCTATTGACATATTCAGCTCCTCCTCCCTATAAACATGTTCAGCTTCTCCTCCAAATGAACATGTTCAGCTCCACCTCCCTATGAACAAGTTCAGCTTCTCCTCCCTATGAACATGTTCAGCTCCTCCTCCCTTTGAACATATTCAGCTCTTCTTCCCTATAAACATGTTCAGCTCGTCCTCGATATGAACATATTCAGCTCCTCCTCCCTATTGACATATTCAGCTCCTCCTCCCTATAAACATGTTCAGCTTCTCCTCCAAATGAACATGTTCAGCATCTCCTCCCTATGAACATGTTCAGCTTCTCCTCCAAATGAACATGTTCAGCTCCTCCTCCCTATGAACATATTCAGCTCCTCCTCCCTATGAACATGTTCAGCTGCTCCTTCCTATGAACATGTTCAACTCCTCCTCCCTATGAACATGTTCAGCTCCTCTTCCCTATGAACATGTTCAGCTCCTCCCTATGAACATGTTCCACTCCTCCTCCCTATGAACATGTTCAGCTCCTCTTCCCTATGACCATGTTCAACCTCTCCTCCCTATGAACATGTTCAGCTCACCCTCCCTATGAATATGTTCAGCTCCTCCTCCCTATGAACATGTTCAGTTTCTCGTCCCTATGAACATGTTCAGCTCCTCCTCCCTTTGAACATATTCAGCTCCTCTTCCCTATAAACATGTTCAGCTCGTCCTCCCTATGAACATATTCAGCTCCTCCTCCCTATTGACATGTTCAGCTCCTCCTCCCTATGAACATGTTCAGCTTCTCCTCCAAATGAACATGTTCAGCACCTCCTCCCTATAAATATGTTCTGCATCTCCTCCAAATGAACATGTTCAGCTCCACCTCACTATGAACATGTTCAGCTTCTCCTCCAAATGAACATGTTCAGCTCGTCCTCCCTATGAACATGTTCAGCTCCTCCTTCCTATGAACAAGTTCAGCTCCTCCTCCCTATGAACATGTTCAGCTTTTCGTCCCTATTAACATGGTCAGCTCCTCCTCCCTTTGAACATGTTCAGCTCTTCTTCCCTATGAACATGTTCAGCTCGTCCTACCCTTGAACATGTTCAACTCCTCCTCCCTATGAACATGTTCAGCTGCTCCTCCCTGTGAACATTTTCAGCTTCTCGTCCCTATGAACATGTTCAGCTCCTCTTTCCTATGAACATGTTCAGCTCCTCCCTATGAACATGTTCCACTCCTCCTCTCTATGAACATGTTCAGCTCCTCTTCCCTATGAACATGTTCAACCTCTCCTCCCTATGAACATGTTCAGCTCTTCCTCCCTATGAACATTCTCAGATCCTCCTCCCTATGAACATGTTCAGCTCCTCCTCCCTATGAACATGTTCAGCTCCTCCTAGCTATGAACATGTTCAGCTCCTTCTTTCTATGAACATGTTCAGCTGCTCCTCTCTATGAACATGTTCAGCTCCTCCTCCCCCCTATGAACATGTTCAGCTGCTCCTCTCTATGAACATGTTCAGCTCCTCCTCCCCCCTATGAACATGTTCAGCTCCTCCTCCCTATGAACGATTATCTAATTTTTTTTATAAAAAGAATTTAAATATGTATACTTTCCCACATCATTTTCGATGTATTCAGAATGTATGAAGGAACACATTTCAAAATATCTTAATATTTCATTTCCGGTTTCGGCTTTGGTTTTCGGCTTTGGTTTCGACCGAAATTCATTTTTAACTTTCGGTTTTTTTCAGTTTCGGCCGAAAGTCATTTTTAAACTGTCGGCATTTTTTCGGTTTCGGCCGAAAGTCATTTTAAACTTTCGGCCTTTTTTCGGCTTCGGCCGAAATCAGAAAATCACTTTCGGTCGGTCTCTACTCTGTACATGTTTAGTTTCTTCTCCCTAGTTTCAGCTCATCCTCCCTTTGAACATGTTCAACTTTTCCTCCCTGTGTATGTCATCCGCTACACCTTCCTGTACTTATCAACTCCTCATCTCTGTGTACGTGATTAGCGCCTTGCTAACACATTCAGCTCATCTCCCTGCCCGTGGAAATGATCAGCTCTACATTCCTGTATAAATGTTCAGCTCCTTCTCATGGTGTGCGTGATCAGCTCCACCTCCCCGTGTATGCTGTCAAAATCCCACTTTGAAAAAATTTAACTTCGCGCTACTCCATGTGAACGTGTTCTTCCTTGCCATCTACATGTGGACGTGATCACCTCTTCCTCTTGCTTGTGGACGTTGTGTACTCTTCTTCGTGTATGTGGACGTGATAGCCTTATCATCCTCTGTGTAAACGTGATCACATCCTTCTCCTGCTAGTGTACGTGATCTCCTCATCCTCCTACATGTAAATGAGATATCTTCATCCTCCTGCATGTGGACGTGATCTCCTTATCCTCCTACATGTAAATGAGATCTCTTCATCCTCCTGCATGTGGACGTGATCTCCTCATCCTCCTACATGTGCACGTGATCTCCTCATCCTCCTACATGTAAACGAGATCTCTTCATCCTCCTACATTTTGACGTGATTTCTTCATCCTCCTACATGTGGACGTGACTTCTTCATCCTCCTACATGTTGACGTGATTTCCTCATTTAACTATCTTAAATTTCCTGAAATTACTTTGAATTCGCGTGCAGATATTGCTCATATTGATTAAATTGATGATTTGATTGATAAGTGATAGTCTAGCGTAAAGCGCCCCCTTTTGTCAGGATAAAATGTCTGCTAAATATCTGTTCATAACAACTCTCAAACACCCAAATGCAAAACTTAATTCTCCATGCAAAGTAATTTATAATAAAAATGATGTTAAATAGATAGAAAATAATCAAATTGATTGATAACAAGGCTGTTATGTTTCTATAGAAGGAATGAGTTTAACAAAGATATTAATTGAATAATTGTGAATTTGTAGGGTCGCTAACAAACATGATGAGACAGGGGTGCTCACAACCATGTGAGAAGACAGGGGTGCTCACTACCATGTGAGAAGACAGGGGTGCTCACAACCATGTGAGAAGACAGGGGTGATCACAACCATGTGAGAAGACAGGGGTGCTCACAACCATGTGAGAAGACAGGGGTGATCACAACCATGTGAGAAGACAGGGGTGATCACAACCATGTGAGAAGACAGGGGTGATCACAACCATGTGAGAAGACAGGGGTGATCACAACCATGTGAGAAGACAGGGGTGCTCACAACCATGTGAGAAGACAGGGGTGATCACAACCATGTGAGAAGACAGGGGTGGAGAAGACAGGGGTGATCACAACCATGTGAGAAGACAGGGGTGATCACAACCATGTGAGAAGACAGGGGTGCTCACAACCATGTGAGAAGACAGGGGTGATCACAACCATGTGAGAAGACAGGGGTGCTCACAACCATGTGAGAAGACAGGGGTGATCACAACCATTTGAGAAGACAGGGGTGATCACAACCATGTGAGAAGACAGGGGTGCTCACAACCATGTGAGAAGACAGGGGTGATCACAACCATGTGAGAAGACAGGGGTGATCACAACCATGTGAGAAGACAAGGGGGCTTACAACCGTTATGGATAAGACAGGGGTGCTCAAAACCATGTGAGAAGACAGGGCTGCCAACACAATGTGTGAGGAGCTTTGGAGTTAATATTAAAAAGTTAAAATTCAATCACAGTTATTTTTGTTCAATCATTGTTTAAGTTAGTAATCATTTATTTAGTTTTCTTTGGCTCGTCTATGTTTTAAAACACTTCCAATCAGCTTTCAATCATTTTTCAAACAGACAAAACTATAAGAAGATATTTTACTTAACGATTGTTAATTTTATTGTTATTATTTCCATTTTTAGTTCAATCTAATAAATTCCAAAAAAAAAATTTAATCTTTGTTTTAGTTTACTAATGTCATTTGGGATGACTTGTTGCAGAACGGTTCATTTTCAGTTGAAATTTCACCCGGACAGAGTCGCATTGGTGAGCAATTGGTCATAATATCTGAAAAAGATTTTTACAAAAGTAATTTAATTTTTGAGTGTTTCATTAAACTGAAAGTTTGTATATGAAAATGTTGTTTCTTTGGCTTAAGTATTTTCAATAGTGTCTATTTTATGTATTAAGTGTTTTATACAAGTTTATTGGAGGAGGTCAACAGTTAAAAAGTATATTACAAATAGTGTTAATGTGTTTTTTTTACCAACAGGGACGATCTGTGTTTAAGAAAAAAAATTCTAAATGAAGCTGAATTGTTAAAAAATGGACTGAAATCATTTTGTCTTCCGACAATTAATTTACATGTCCCAAATAACAAAGTGGACGATCCCATCAACCAAGGGAATGATGATGACGTCCAATTAACTGATTGAATCCACCCATGAAGAAAATAGCGACACAAACTCTCCAGCAATCGATAGATTTCTCGACATTGCTGTATCTCTAAAGATCTTAGAAATTTTTAGATGGACTACTCATAACGAGAACTGCTGTATTTACTAGTACATTAGTACCATTTGTAACTTAATGTTTTAGGTCTCAGCACCGGAAATGTTGGTCGTATGATACCATGCACAAAATTGTACAAGATATTACAGTAAAAAAGGATCTGATACATAACATATAGTTTGTAAACAGCGGTACAAAGAAGCAGTGGCTAAATTCGCATATACATATGTTTATTCACAAAAGTTTAAAAAAGGGGTTTCTACTGGCTCACCTGATAAATTCTTCACGGACAACTACACCGTTTCCGTTCTTGTCGAAAAGCGTGTACATGGCGTTGAAGTCTGAGACATCTAGGTCATTGTCGCTATCACGGTCATAATGAGTGAACACGTAATCTCCAACAGTTTGAGTATGGCTAAAGCTGACCATGCGAGCAACGAACCAATCCCTTGCAATGCTGTTGTCGGTTGGATACCTTTTAAAGGTCTAAAAAAATAACAGTTTTTTCAAAAGTAACTGAACAATGGTTTTGATTTTACAGTGGTCAACGTTCATCCGATAAGAAGTTGACATTTAAAAAATTTGCATCTTTCGATGTTATTTAAAACAAGATGACTTTCAGACAACTGTTTCTTTATATGTTTATGCTGTTTCTTAATTAAAAAAAAAATTAAATATATCAACATCATCCTCATCATGAGTCCTGTGAACAAGTTTGAATTTTTTAAATAGTTATAATAGACTTGCTCATAGATTTAATAAATGAAAGGACTGCTTTCAAGCTTAATAAATGAATGAAATAGCGAAACGAGGTATGTGGAAGCTTGAAATAAGATAACTGGACAAAAGACAAGGTCGTTTCGGCATAAAGCCTTCCTCATAAAGCTTGAGTTGTTTACTGTGCTCTTTTCTTTGTTATTTTTTCATTTCTATTGTTGGCTGAGGAAGGCTTGATGCCACGCATTTGAAGCTAATTTAAAAGGAATTTTAAGACGTGAACTGAGCTTAAGACTATGTCCTTTGGGAAATGTTTAGCATCTCAAACATTCTGTTTGGATCACCCAGACAGTATGAGTACTTCTAAACGCCATCTATTTCTAATTCCAGGATCACGAAGCTTAAAGGCGTTCTGCACGACACTATTTCAGACGTACTCAACACAATATGAATTCATCTAAACGCAATAAATTGATCAACACATCAAAAGCTCTCAAAGCGACATATTTCTATTTCTACTTTCCTTGAATAAATAACCGTATAAATATTTCTAAATGATGCATATATGTAATTATTTTTCAAGACACCGTATTAGTACTACTGTACATCTGTTTCTATTTGCCAGACTCAAACACACTAATTGCTATTTATAATTTTTACATCAAAAATATATGACTCACATTAAAACTGGTATTGCACTCCGTAAGTTCCATGATGCCGTTATTATTTCTGTCGATAACTCTAAACGTTAAATTGGCCACTTGGAAGTTTGGGAGCGAAGACAGCGCTGGTAACTGCGTTGGTAACTGCGTCAAAGTCAAGGGCAACACAGATATCAGTAAAATCCCGAGAAACTTCATAATTTCCCTGGAACCGAACAAAGTGTTAATTTCGGTGTTATAATATTTTCAAATCTGGTCTTTAAAGAAATTAGTCAGGAATTTTGAGGAAAATGTGTGTCATTCTGACACCGACTGCTTGATGCAAATAGACTACATATTATGTGCGCTAGAAAATAACGTCAGCGAGTCCTTGAGCTCAAAAGCTCCTCAGGCTTGAATAGCTCCTAACTATCGGGCCACTAAGCGGCGCATGGAAGAGCTCCTCATGCTGGTACAACCCACGCCCGAAACTTCACTCGACGGACTTTGTTTTGCATGAGCCCTCGCACCCTAAGGTTGTCCGGTCGGTCGGTGATGTTGCTCTCCTAACATCAGCTACAGGCTGCCCAAGGGGTCGGTATGTTATATGTACGTCCTAACTCTTTTTCCCTGCCCATCCCGTGGAAGCGCTTGAAGCCTCCGTAAGTGCTGCCTATATAGAATCATTGGCCTGTGGTAGCTCAAAACAACCTCATGTCGTCAGCGGCAACATGTCCACAGCTGGTAGCAGCACAATAGATGCTACCATTTTTGGTAGACATCAGGCATGCCCTTTGTCTGCCCTCACAGGCTCATACAATGGTGGCTTTGTTCCCATGGTAGCGCCAGGTGTCTGTGGGGGCGCCTCTTTTGTCATCACGCCACTACAGTAATGTAGTCTATCGCCCCAGGTGGGAGCATACAAATACTATAAATATAGATTCTAAAGTCTATAGTACAATATCATATACTATAATAATTCTATAACTATATATAACTATATATATATATATATATACATTATAGTCTATAGTACGGAGGCCTATGGTATATCTCAACTATAACCATAGACTCTGAAGCCTTTAGAACTATTGCCTTTACGAAACTTCCACTATAATACCTAAAATGGTAAATCTGAACTTTTTGACAAATCAGGAAACCAACTATGCAATGGCTTTCCTTTGCATTGACAAAAATACCCTCTCTAATATTTACTTCCCTGATTCGATGGTTATTTTTTCCTGCAGGTATCGAAAAGCTGGCGAAGTCAGGACTATGGCTTTCATGAAGATCTTCATTAAACCAAGTCTGATGCGAAGGCTTGATAGATTGCTTTTGGGAGTTTTCCTCAAGATCCATGCTTGATATTGTTTCTGCAAATGCTACATTTTGTCTGCAATGTCATTCCTTCCGCAAGTGGTGCAATTCTCTTGCTGGACTCTCCAAATGACATAAGTAGCGCGTGGATTTTTTATGTCCCTGTAGCAGTCCCAATAAACGGATCGTACCTTTAAATTAACAGATATTTTTCTACTGTTATTGTTGTATTCAATGGAATTCAGTAGCTGAATTAAGCTATAATGTGTCCCGTTCATGTGGAAAGCATCATCTACTTCTACTGGTATAGATAAAACAAGGTTTTCCATTGTGTAAAAACATAGATTCAAAGATTACACTCTTAGTCTCCATTCTTGTGCGTCATGAGTGATATTTTAGGTCCTCGGTATTGGAATAGAAAACCAGATTACTTTCTGAAGAAACGCTCCATCTGCTAGTGACGCTTTCGATATAGAGTAATTTAAAATCTTTTTTCTAGAAAATTCCATTTGGGAGTCTAGATCCTAACAATTGTCCCATGTTCTTGGATAAGTCCTCTTCACGAACCCGGTAATTTAGTTTTTCCCGTGTTATGCTTTGTAGGGTGGATGATGGAGTGGGAAGTCCCTCATCATGTCAAACCAGTCTCAATGATTAAGGAATTTTTGGCTAAACTGTACTGGACTTTTTTTTTGTTTCGTTTTTAGCCGAAAGAAAGGATGAACCAAGTAGTCATTGATATGGTTGCTTCACTCTCTCTCTCTCTCTCTCTCTCTCTCACTCTCTTTCTCTCGCTTTTTCTCTCTCTCTCGTTCTCTCTTTTTCTCTCGTTCTCTCTTTCTCTCTCTTTCTCTCTCTTTTTCTCTCTCTATCTTTCTCTCTCTCTTTCTCCCTCTCTCTTCTCTCTTGCTCTCTCTCTCCTCTTTCTCTCTCACTTTCTCTCTTGCTCTCTCTTTCTCTCTCTCTATATATATCTCTCTCGCTCTCTCTCTCTCTCTCTCTATATATATATATATATATATATATATATATATATTTCTCTCTTTAGCACCATAAGTATTTGCAAAATTCACTGATTAAGATGCTGTTGCAGTCCTACTGGTTATATTTTCATGGTCAAACATATAAAGTCAACTCCATGAAATATCATCAAACGAGAGTCAATACATAAAAATGCATGGATATATTCCTTTTAAAGAACACAAAGATACAACACAATAGGGACCTTTTAAGTCAGTGACGATATCAATGTTGTAAAAATGTATTTAAAAAATAAATAAAGAATCCATTAAAAGCGCTCATTGTACCAGTGTCATTAGTTATTTTCCAATTTATTGCCAGTCATTTTTTTCCATTAGTAGAAAATATGTACAAGATTCGTGTAATAGACGCCTATAGACATGTTATACGTGTAATAGACGCCTATAGACGTGTTAAAAGCGCTTATAGACATGTTATACGTGTGATAGACAGTTAATTTGTTTTTTCAGTTGTGCGTGCTTTCAGTTGTCGTATAGTTCAGTTGTCTGTGATTTTAGTTGTCTGTGAGTTAAAGTGTTTTTGAGTTCAGGTGTCTATGCGGTCAGTTGTCTATGAGTTCGGATGTCTATGATTTCAGTTCTCTCTGAGTTCAGTTGTCTATGTCGTAATTTGTCTGTGAGATCATTCGTCTAGTCTATGAGTTCAGTCATCTATGTTGTCATTTGTTTATGAGTTTAGTTGTCTATGATTTCAGTTCTCTCTGAGTTTAGTTGTCTGTGTGGTCATTGTTCTGTGAGATCATGTGTCTAGTCTATGAGTTCAGTTGTCTAGGATTTGAGTTGCCTTTGCGTTCAGTTGTCTATGGCAACCGTGTGGTAATTTACCTTGTGGTCATTTATTTGAGTGTTATTTTGTCCATGTGGTCACTTGTCCAAGTAGACATTTGTCAGTGTGGCCTTTTATCCGTGTGGTCACTTGTTTATGTGGTCATTTGTCAGTGTGCTCATTTGTCCGTGTTTTCCATTGTCAGCGTAGTCAACTGTCAGTGTGTTTACTTGTCTATGTTGTCATTTCTTTGTGTGGTAATTTTTTGGTATAGATTTTTATCCGTGTGGCTATTTGTTCATTGGGTCCCCTGTCCGTGTGGTAACTAGTCCATGTCGTCATTTGTCCGTGTCGTCATTTGTCCATTCGTCATTTGTCCATGTCGTCATTTGTCCATGTCGTCATTTGTCCATATAGTCATTTGTCCATGTCATCATTTATCCATGTCGTCATTTGTTCATGTCGTCGTTTGCCCGTATCGTCATTTGCCCATGTCGTCATGTTTCCATATCTACATTTGTCCATGTCGTCATTTGTCCGTGTCGTCATTTGTCCATGTCGTCATTTGTCCGTGTCGTCATTTGTCCGTGTCGTTATTGGTCCATGTCGTCATTTGTCCTTGTCGTCATTCGTTCGTGTTTTTTACTTGCCTGTGCTTTCACATTTCTATGTGGGGTCTTGTCAATGTGTTCAAATGTCCGTGTTGTCATTTGTCTATGTCGTCATTTGCCCGTATCGTCATAAGTCCATGTCGTCATTTGTCCATGTCGTCATTTTTCCGTGTCGTCATTTGTCCATGCCGTCATTTGTCCATGTCGCTATTGTCCGTGTCGTTATTCGTTCGTGTCTTTACTTGCCTGTGCTTTCACATTTCTATGTGGGGTCTTGCCAATCTGTTCACATGTCTGTGTAGTCATTTGTCCATGTTGTCACTTAATTGTATGAACTTATGTCTGTGTGGCCTCTTGTCTGTGTGATCAGTTCTCGCATGTGTTCATGAGTCCGTGTTTTTCCCGTGTGATCATTTGACCGTGTAGTCATTTGGCCATGTTGTAATTTGTCCACGTTGTCACTTGTTTGTCTTGTCAATTGTCTGTGCGCACTAATTTCTTTGTGGTCACTCAGTAATGATCTCATTACGTCAAGCTTATGTCAAATGTCACTACGAAGTAATTCATTGGCTCTCTAAGACAAATAATTTATTGCTTCTCTAAGACCTGAAAATTTTGGTTCAAAACTTCATATAAACTTGTTGAGTAGGAACATATGTTGAATTATTTTAGATCTTTAAAAATTTCAGTGACATCACGTGAGCATTTAAGATGGATTCAGTGGATCTCCAAACTAATTAAATATGATGACTTACATGTTAGCAAGGATTCAACAGACGACTTGTAATCGGCAGAACTTCTCAGATCTCAAAGATGGCCACGATGTTGAAGGATGTGGAGAGCAGCCAAAGCGTGTGCCTTTATAGTTGACAGAGGTGACAAAAACTGGCAAAAACTGGCAAAAACTGGCCAGCTTATAAAACATAGGCGGATTTGAGATGGGAGACACATCAATATACTGTATATAAACTCATCCATCGCAAACCAGGGCAACTCGCACATACTTTTATAATGGATCCATAATGCACTTTCTTTTTCCATCTTACTGTTCTTAATTTTTTCTTCTCTCCCTCTCTAATCTTCTCTATCTCACTTTCTCACTTACATTCTCTCTCAATATCTCACCTTAATCTCTTAATCTCTCTCTCTCTCACTCGCTTACCATATTTCTCTCACAAACTATCTCACGCACGCTCTATCTCTCACTTTCTCTCCCATTCTTTCTTTCATGTTTTCTCTATAATTCTACCTCTCCCCCTCCTCTCTCTTTCTCCCTCTCTCTTTCTCCCTCTCTCTCTCTCTCTCTCTCTCTCTCTCTCTCTCTCTCTCTCTCTCTCTCTCTCTCTCTCTTCTTCTTTCTTCTTTCTCTCTCTTTCTCTTACTTTTTTTTTATCTCTCACACTCTCTCTCGCTCTCTCTCTCTCTCTCTCTCTCTCCCCCTCTCTCTCTCATTTTTTCTCTATATCTCTCCCTCTCCCCCCCCTCTCTCTCTCTCTCTCTCTCTCTCTCTCTCTCTCTCTCTCTCTCTCTCTCTCTCTCTCTCTCTCTCTCTCTCTCTCTCTCTCTCTCTCTCAATCTCTCTCCATCGTCTATCTAAATCTGAATCTTTTTTTTACACAATCTCTCAGGGACTCCACTTTCAAGTGGTACTAGGCAACCCTTGCTAGAGACTACCCCCTTATGCCGTCGTGAAAGGCACGCCACTACATGTAAAACGTTGAAGACGCACAGGTCCACTCCAGTCTAGATCATAAAATTATTCTTAATGCTTTTGTAATTGTTTTTCTCTATTGTCGTGGAATATAAAATTCGTTTGTTCCAAAGATGTTAATGGGTTTAATCCATCTAACACCATTGTCCCAACTGATTTGATGGTGGACCACGACCCAAACGTAATGGCGCGATCAATAATTTTTCCTGTAGCTAGACATTGTACAGAATCAATGGGAACAATACATTCAATTATACCAAAATACTCTGTACCAAACAAGACTGGCCAAGGGAGACATTTAACTTAGACAAACCACGAGGATGACTAACACTAGACAAGCAACGTGGGAGACTAACCCTTGACAAGCCACGTGGGAGACTTACCCTAGACAAGCCACGAAGGAGATTAACCTTTGACAAGACACAAGGGATACTAACACTCGACAAGCCACGTGGGAGATTAACCCTTAACAAGCCACGGGGAGACTAACAATAGACAAGCCACGTAGGAGACTAACCCTTGACAAGCCACGTGGACGACTTACCCTAGACACGCCACGGAGAAGATTAACCCTTGACAAGCCACGTAAGAGACAAACCCTAGACAGCCACGTGGGAGACTAATCCTTGAAAAGCCACGAGGGAGGCTAAAACTACACAACACACGTGGGAGACTAACCCTCGCCAAGCCAAGGGGGAAACTAAGAATAGACAGCTGTGGATGATACTAACCCAAGACAAGCGACAAGCGAAAACTTACCCACAAGCAGACCCAGGTGACAGGTCTAACGCGACCACTGACCCACAAGCAGACCCTTTTAACAGGACCAACGCGACAACTTGCCCACAAGCAGACCCAGGTGAAAGGTCCAACGCGACCACTGGCCCACAATCAGACCCAGGTGACAGGTACAACGCGACCACTTGCCCACAAGCTGACTCAAGTGACAGGTTCAACCCGAAACAGGCCCACAAGCCGACCCAGGTGACAAGTCCAATAAGACCACTGGCCCACAAGCAGACCCAGGTGACTGGTTCAACGCGACCACTGGCCCACAAATAGAAACAGGTGACAGGTACAAAGCGACCTCTTTCCAACATGCTCACCCAGGTGACAGGTCCAACGCGATCACTAGCCCCCAAGCTGACCCAAGTGACAGGTTCAACTCGGAACTGGCCCACCAGCCGATCGAGATTAAAAGGTCCAACAAGACCACTGGCTTACAAGCAGTTCCAGGTGTCAGGTCCAACGCGACTACTGGCCCACAAGTAAACCCAAATGACAGGTACAAAGCGACCACTTGCCAACATGCTCACCCAGGTGACAGGTCCAACAAGACCACTGGCCCCAAGCTGACCAAGATGACAGTTCCAATGCGACCACTGGCCCCCAAGCTGACCGAGGTGACAGTTCCAACTCGATCACTGGCCCCCAAGCTGACTCAGGTGACAGGTCCAACGCGACCACTGGCCCCAAGCTGACCAAGATGACAGTTCCAATGCGACCACTGGCTCCCAAGCAGACCCGGGTGACAGGTGCAACGTGACAACTTGCTTACAAGTACACCCAGGTAACAGGTCCAACGCAACCACTGGCCCACAAGCAGACCCAGGTGACAGGTACAACGCGACCACTTGCCCACAAGCTGACCCAAGTGACAGATTCAACGCGACCACTGGCCCAAAAACGACCCAGGTGACAGGTCCATCGCGACCACTGGCCCACAAGCAGACACAAGTGACAGGTACAAAGCGACCACTCGCCAACAAGCTGATCCAGGTGACAGGTCCAACGCGTCACTGGCCCCGAAGCTGACCGAGATGGCAGTTCCAACGCGACCACTGGCCCCCAAGAAGACCCAGGTGACAGGTCCAACGCAACTACTGGCCCCTGACCGGGCCCAGGTGACAGGTCCAACGCGACCACTGGCCTCCCAGCACACCCAGGTGACAGGTCCAACGCGACCATTGGCCAACACGCTGAACCAGGTGACAGGTCCAACTCGACCACTGGCGCACAAGCAGACCCAAGTGACAGGTACAAAGCGACCACTCGCCAACAAGCTGATCCAGGTGACAGGTCCAACGCGACCATTGGCCAACAAGCTGACCTAGGACAGGTCCAACGCGACCACTGGCCAACAAGCTAGCCCATTTGGGAGGTCCAATGCAACCACTGCCTCCCAAGCAGACCCAGGTGACAGGTCCAAAGCAACCACTGGCCCCCAAGCTGACCCAGGTGACAGGTCCAATGCGACCACTGGCCAACAAGCTGACCGAGCTGACAGGTCCAACGCGACCACTGGCCAACAAGCTGACCGAGGTGACAGGTCCAACACGACCATTTTGCCAACTAGCTGTCCGAGGTGACAAATCCAAAGTGACTGCTTTGCGAATAGAAACAGGGTTAGTATGACCGGAGTGTTGTTGTCCCTTCAAACTTTTAATTGAATCCATTCCAGCATGCCATTTGCAAGACAGTTAAATTTCAAATATCTTATTGTCAAAGGATTGTATTGATTTTTTAAAATATAATGTGAATTTAAGTGTCTTGTGATCATATAAATTAATTGAAACATCGAACAGGTTGTCGTGAGCTTGTCACAATTCGATGTCGAGATGACAAAAATTCTTAAATGACAGCAGAGCACAATTGACAGTTGTCTTCTAATGACAGTAGTGCTCTATTGACGGTAGTGCTCTAATGACTGTAGTGCTCTAATGACAGTGATGTTCTAATAGACGCTATGTTCTAATGAAAGTAGTGCTCTTGTGACAGTCGAACTATATAAACAAGAGTACACTAATGACAGTATTGCTCTAATGACAGAAGTGCTCTAATGTGAGTAATCCTCTTATTAAAGTAGTTATCTAATGACAGCAATCCTCTAATTACAGTAGTGATTTAATGACAGTTTTGCCCTTATGACATTATTTTTATAATGACAGTATTGCTTTAATGACAGCGATGAATCAATAAAAGTAGAGCGGTATAGACACTAAAACTCTAAATGCAGTAGTGTTCTTTTGAAAGTAATGCTATAATGAGTTTTTTTCGCAATGACAGCAATGCTCTAATGACAGCAATGCTCTAATGACAGCAGATCTCTAAATGCAATGGTGTTCTAATGAAATGGGTGCTATAATTACGGTTTTGTCATAATGACAGTAATGCTCTAATGACAGTAATGCTCTAATGACAGTAATGCTCTAATGACAGTAATGCTCTAATGACAGCAATGCTCTAAATACAATAGTGGTCAAATGAAAGTAGTGTACTAATGAAAAAAGTGTTCTAATGACAGTAGTGTTCTATGACAGTAATGCTCTAATGACAGTAGTGTTCTATGACATAAGAGAAGAAAAGATTCTTGTAATGCTCCAAATATATTTAAATATTTGTAATTGCGTTGTAGATATACATTTTAAGCAAATAAATAAATACATAATTAAATAAATTCAATAGTATCCAAATAAAATAAGCAAAACACAAGATATCTTAATTAAATTATTTCTCGACCTCCATTTATTATAATAATTAAAAAGAGACTGAATTAGAGTTTATTTCGATTTTGTAACCTCTTGGAGAGCACGCTGATAATTGCTACAGATTGGAGAACAAACGAATTTTAATATCTTTGAGTCCTCGCCCTGAGAGAAAGGATTTGTCCCGAACGGACCGATCCTAATTATCTGTGATGAAGAAGGTTGGATGAATTATCCAACATTTGTTTAGGTTTACAGTAACATTTTTCTTCAAATAGTTCTTAAATTGAAGGAGATTTATTTTGGGAGATGTTTCTAGCTTTCTTGACCAGTCATTTTCATAGATGTTTGATATCGGACGTTTAATGCCCACACAAGCAGGTAACTTTGAAATTACGTAAATTTCCGATTGTTGCACTGTAGAATAAGTTAATACCTTGTTTTTTTACGCCGAAATTGTACAGTTTTTTTAAGATAAGCAATTCTTTGGTTGAATTTTTCATACAGCATATTGCCGTGCTTATGCCATTTTCGTTTATTATTTCTTGTGATACTTAAGTACTCATATGTCTCTACTTTCTCCACATCTTGATTTTTTTATGTTCAAT